CAGCTGGATAAGAAAAGAACTGTCTTCATTTCATGCTGCAAAGCAACAAAATGTGATTATTTTAAATGGGGGTGACTGTTTTCTATAGCCACTGTATATCCAAAACAGAAGTTTTTTTGAATGTTAAATGGTGGCATGATAAACTACCTGTACAGTGCATAAGATGAGGTAATAGAAATCAATAATAAACTAATGCTAGAGTAAAGAAACAACAAAAAAAATAATACCAATATTCATTAAAAAAAAAAAAAAAAGGAAATAATATCAACATATTCAATTTTAAATAAAGGATCATAAACGAAATCCATCATACTTTAAATATACATATAAAAGAAAGACATGGAGATATATTATGAGATAAACAGTTCTCCGGCAAAACATCTCAAAACTGAACAAACTTTACAGACATATAAAATTAAAAAAATGTATGGCATTTAAAGATGTGGGGCTTAATGGGTGTGTTGCTATGGATATTCCAAAAAGTTTTTTTTTTTGTGACACTAAATAATATCCTTATTCTCCAAACAATAATCCATACACATCCCTGTAATTATGTTTCATAAACGTGCTATGTACTGTGTTTTCCTGCCCCCTTCTAAGATTCCCCTCCCACATACATTTGTTTGGAATGAGCAGTGCATGTTAGTTGTGGTCATGTGTATTGCTCTATGCACCCTGTAAATCTTGGAGCCAGTGGTTACACACAGTGGGGACCATGAAGAACAGCCATAACCACCGACTGACAGGAAGTCAGATCACAGCAGGGGGAAAAAAAAAAATTTGGACAAGGCTGAGAGCAATAGAAGATATGTTTTGAGTAAGAACATATACTTGTGTAGATTTTATCTCTAGTTTAGATTCGCTTTGAAAATTTCCTTGCAAAATTGTGGAACGATGCTGGGGGTTGTGGAATTGTAAAAAGAACAAAAAGGCAGAGAACATCCTGGGTTTTTTAATTGTTTTAAATCATACAGTTGTTCAACCCTTACAGGAATAGTGGTTCAAGTAAAGCACACAATCATCAAACAAACACAGCACATTTAATATTATAACAAGAATTCAAATCTTTACAGGGAACTTAAAAGGAAACCTCCACAGTCCACTAGACCGCAAACTCATTTACAAATGTACCCAGGGGTGGTGAGAAAGGCTTTGTTTCACGTACTAGAATTGGGGCCTTACCATTATTACACTGAACTGAATTTTCAAACCAGAAAGACACCAAATAACATTTAAAAGATGACTTATCTTTTACACTTTTAAAAGATGTTCAAGGTTGGTAGAGCACAAAACCAGCTGCAGAGCAGTCACTTGATGAATAACACGTTAGTAAATTCAGCTGCAGGTTCAGGAGTTCAATAAATCAAAGATTACAGAACCCTCACACCAGTTGCTGCCCTATTCACAAAACTTGCTGAAAAAAAAGAAAAACAGGAAATAACATGCTTTATCATAAAGACAGCAACTGATGTGCAGGCTCTGACATCTGCTTAAATATTACATCACATAGCCATTTGAGGGCATGGCAGATGACTGATGGACTCTGGTATGTGCTATTTTCTAAAGTTACATGATGGGTCCCTAACACTAAACCTGCCATCAGAAGGAAACACCAAGATTAAGGTTACAGTACAAACTAATAGGTGCATGATCATACTTCGTGTGTCCCTTGCTAGTGCCCACACAGATGGTTGAACTTCTTGTGGTTAGAGAAAGACATGCCCCACAATGAAGTGAATGTATTTGTGCCTAAAAGACTCACTGCCATGCTCAGTGCCTAATTGAATGACTTGGGGGAAATCTCATGGACTCCCTGTTACAAAGAAAGCAGGATCAGGCATCTTATGGTGCATAACAGAACATTCGGTGTTATTTTGCACCCTAAAAAGTTTCTGATACATTAACGTACAGTAAAAAAGGTTAAAATTTGAGGCACCAACTTTAGGGCTTGTGTAGATGGAAAAATGCAGTGTACTTTTAGGCACATGGAATCAGCTTGTGATGTTTCTGGAATCCTTCATAGATGCCTATGAAACTTGTTAACTACATTTAACTTTGTAAGATGCCTCAAACTGCCTTTGCTTTCCTAGTGACTGGGGGGGAAAAAAAATAAAAAAAATAAATAAAAGAACAGACTGACCCAATTTAAAGCCCTTGAACAAAGGCCGTTTTGGTGTCTTGGCCATCTGTGTCTAGATATTTTTCCAGCCCTGGTAAACTTTTATACACATTCCTATATTTTATTGCACACATATTAATGTAAGTTAAAAAAAAAAATAGAAGGTTAAAATAGAACTAAACCCACCTATCATTTACAGCCAATGAAGCTGTCATCTAAGCCACGGTTTCATAACATGGGCAGCATCATGGCAGTTACATATCAGTTATGACACCTGCCATTTGATGGTTTGACAGCTCAGTCGAGAGTTAGGCCCCTTTCACACAGGCGGTCTTTCCACCAGTGGATCCGCCTGCTTGGCAGGGGATCTGTCTGCTGATCCCCGCTGAGCAGGTGGATGATAGTTCCATGTCTGCTCCACTTATACAGAGGAGACACGGACACAGCCCACTCTCCTCTATGGGTTGTTGGATGTAAATGGACTGCCTGTTTGTTTACATCTGTTATCCGATCAATGGATGGGGAACTGATCCCCATCTGTCTGTTTTTAGCGGATAGGGTCGGATGCAGGGGGGTGTAAACTGACATGTCTGTTTACACCACTGCTCCATAGAGGGCAATGGATGGTCCGATTGGGTCTACCTGAAAGACGGCAAGGTGGACCCGATCTGTTCACCCATGTGAAAGAGGCCTTAACATAAGCACGCTAGTAACTTTAACAGTTATCATTCAAGGCATGTCTTGAGGTTACCAAATTGGGAAACCGTTCAAATCAATGGGTTTAGTTATGCTTTAAACAGCATAACAAGGGATAGGAACACAATTTGATATTTCCATAAATATCAGCCTAGAATTGAGGAACACAGACATGAATATTCTCTATAGGGTAAGGGTTCCCTATGGTAATTATAAAGTAGTGAGTGTTCTAGCGGTTGTTTTTTTTTTTCTACAGCCACAACATTCAAAAGATGGACGGTATTACTCAAGATATACTTACCTGTACTAAAGTTTGCATGTTTAGATCCAAGCACTGTTGAAAAATACAGCCCCAAATTACTTAACGTGTGTACAGTTAGAAATAACGCAAAGGGCCTTTAACTATTTACATCAATTAAAATAAACCATTTACAAAATCAGTAGAGGAATTTGAGATGAATACTTGCAATGGAAAAGAATACAACTTAAAAAGGGGCACAGAATAGAGCCACAATCTGCAAACATGTTTAACGTGCCACAAAACATTTGCAGACTGTTTTTTGTTGGACTGATTGCACCAAGAGGCTTCAAAAATTCCCAAGCTCCTTATTTTGATACCATAAGGAAATTTATCAAGTAAATGGCATGGCAAAGGGCAGATATCTAGCAGGAACCAGGTTAAAAAAAAAAGAAAAAAAAGGAGTGTACACAAGCAGAATATTTATATTTTTTGTGCATACAAAAAAGGTAGGCGAGACCATGGCCTCTTTTTTGACATATGCAGCACAATAAGAATAAATCTAACATTATACCCCCCTCCCTCTTCACGTTTTACATTACCAACCTTGTCCCCAATTAGGCATACTTCGCCTTAATCAATGTTCACTCTGAAACCTTTTAAAATATACAGTGGGTGACAGAAACCCCAATGGGGACAGAGGTAGCAATTAAACAACATTGTTAGTAGATTTGGGAAAGTTAACGAAATTTGTTGTGTTTTTATAGCAGCCTGTGTCCCCTCCAGGGAGATTTCCCTTCACTTCCTGTCCAGATGAAGTTACCAGGCATACCAGTAGAGAGCAGGCATTGTTTAGGCCTTGGAATACCTATTAGTTACAGGTTAATGACCAACAAGTTACAGATTTCAAAAGTAAAACTATTGCTGCCCTTTGTAATTGACAGTGACACAGAAAACAGGAAAGCTTGCAAAGGATTTCCTATTCTGAAACAAAATAGAATGACCTCAGTAGTACATATTATATTTTTTGTATACTTTTTTCTTTTTTTTACATACTCAGAAAATCAAAAATGAGGAAACAATGGAATTGTTTTTAAATAATGTAAAGTAAACCATGCCATTTCTCTTGCTATCCCTTCTAACAGTATGTGCACAGAAGCCCTATTTGCTCCCAATCTCTAACATTCCAGCAATAAGTGGATAACAACTGTGAAGACGCAGACTAAAAAAAAAAAAAAAAATAATCACACTTTTGAAGACAAACTCAGTCCTCAGTTAGATAGGAAAGTAGATCATATTTACTTGTTTTAAACTATTTTTTTTTTTTTTACAATTCTTCAGTTACTTCTTTGTTTACAAGCCTAGGCAAAATTATTTCATACATCTCAGGAGTATTCAGGAGGGGTTTTCTCAGCTAAACACACCCTCCAAGCATGCCTGCCTCAGCTAAGGGTAAAGGGATTCTAGGAAATAAAGGCTACATAAGTCATCTAGCCTTACTCAAGATGGTCACAGCCAGACACTTCTGAGCATGCTAGGTGGTGATTTCTTAGCAAAATAAAAACATGGAGACACGGATGGAGAAGTTTACTTTCAATATTAAAAAAAATAATTAATAGCACTTTTGGTTTGTGATGTTTAGTTGCAGTGTAGTTCCGCTTTAATACAATGACACCTTCCTTACTCAGATTGTCTAGAATGATTATTGAAGCTGGCCAACAGAAAAAAAAAGTGGCTTCAGTCAATAGTGAAAGGAGGGATAGAGAAAGTGAAAGTTAGCATGGTGGATTACAAAGTTTCACAGCAACTATCTAGGGAGACCTGTAACATGAGAGAGGGGCGATAAAAAGCTTACACAGTCTCTATGAACAGGTGCTGTTAGAGAGGGACAGGAATAAGTAAGGATAGCCAGAGAAGCGGCATGGTTTGCTTTCAGAAATCCAAACTCTAGTCCATCCTAATCTTCTGATTGGTCATTCTGTAGATGATGCTGTCATAACCAGGGTCCATGTTCCATAGGTTGTACGAGACTGCAATGACTGCTAGAGCCAGGCCAATCATAATCCACAAGATGATGTTGAAGACAACAGCGTAGTTAAAGTTATATTCATAGGCCAGGTTGTATGGACTTCCAGGGTTACTCTAAAACAGATAAAGAAAGACTTCAGTTAAGATATTGTAGCAGACAGATTTTCCACATAGTGAAATCAGATGCCTTTTATAGATAACTAGAAGGAATGAAAAGAGGAGCTGCTGGTACTCTGGTGCAATGTGCTGTAACACTAGTCTAGACAGTACAAGTAACATCAAAAGTATGAGTGGGCATTTTTATGCTTTGGGAACAGATTTTATAACCCCCTCAAAGGAAAAAAAATGAAGATGTGCCTTATGGTTTGTCAGTACTTTTGCATTGATTATTATGCACAGACCTAAAAAGTCATGTGATCCTATCTTATTGTCCTAAGCAGCTGCCCCTTTTGCTTCCCCTAGATAGGACCCTGGATCACTCCATCCAGTGCTCCTGAACTTTAAATAAAGCAGACATAGTACACTGGAACATACACTGCTCAAAAAAATTAAAGGGACACTCTGAAAACACATCATGCTGGATATCTATACTGATATGGACTGGGTAATGTGTTAGAAACGTAAGGATGCCCCATCGTTTGATGGAAATGAAAATTATCAACCCACAGAAGACTGGATTCAAAGACACCCCAAAAATCTAAGTGAAAAAATGATTCAGCAGGCTAGTCCATTTTGCTGAAATTTCATTGCAGCAACTCAAAAATGGTACTCAGTAGTTTGTATGGCCCCCACGTGCTTGTATGCATTGCATGCCTGACAATGTCAGGGCATGCTCCTAATGAGATGAAGGATGATGTCCTGGGGTATTTCCTCCCAGATCTGGATCAGGGCATTACTGAGCTCCTGGACAGTCTGAGGTGCAACCTGTCAGCAGCGGATGGATGGAAACATGATATCCAGAGGTGTTTTATTGGATTTAGGTCAGGCAAGCGTGGGGGCCATTCAATGGTATCAGTTCCCTCATCCTCCAGGAACTGCCTGCATATTCTCACCACATGAGGCCGAGCATAGTCGCGAACCAGGATGAACCCAGGACCCACTGCATCAGCATAGGGTCTGACACTTTGTCCAAGGATTTCATCCCGATACCTATGGCAGTCAGGGTGCCATTCTCTAGCCTGTAGAGGTCTGTGTGTCCCTCCATGGATATGCCTCCCCAGACCATAACTGACCCACCACCAAAACAGTCATGGTGAATGATGTTACAGGCAACATAATGTTTGCCACAGCTTCTCCAGACCCTTTCACGTCTCTCACATCTCAGGGTGAACCTGCTCTCATCTGTGAAAAGCACAGGGCGCCAGTGGCGGACCTGCCAATTATGGTGTTCAATGGCAAATGCCAATCGAGCTCTATGGTGCTGGGCAGTGAGCACAGGGCCAGCTAGAGGACATCGGGGCCCTCGGGCCACTCTCATGAAGTCTGTTTCTGATTGTTAATGTCAGAGACATTCACACCAGTGGGCTGATGGAGGTCATTTTGTAGGGCTCTGGCAGTGCTCATCCTGTTCCTCCTTGCACAAAGGAGCAGATACCGGTCCTGCTGATGGGTTAAGGGCCTTCTACGGCCCTGTAAAGCTCTCCTAGAATCTCCTCTATGCTCTTAAGACTGTGCTGGGAGACACAGCAAACCTTCTGGCAATGGCACGTATTGATGTGCCATCCTTGAGGAGTTGGACTGCCTATGCAACCTCTGTAGGGTGCAGGTATCGCCTCATTCTACCAGTATTTAACTGACCCTAGCCAAATGCAAAAAACTAGTAAAAAAAACTGTCAGCAAAGATGATGAGTAGGGGGAAAAAAAATGTCAGTGGCCTCCACCCGTAAAACCATTCCTGTTTTGGTGGTCGTCTCATTGTTACCCATCTAGTGTACCTGTTAATCTCATCAACACCAAAGCAGCTGAAGCTGAAACTGATTAACAACCCCCTCTGACCAGATCAATATCCCAGGAAATTAACTGACTGGATGCTATAATCCGATTAAAAAAAAAAAAAGTGTTGCTTTAAATTTTTCTGAGCAGTGTATAATACAGGGATGTTCAAGTCCTATCAGTGGTAACTTGTGAAAGCTTTCAAAAAGAGTCGCCTATGGATAGTAATATAGTAAAGTTATGCATTGTGATTTTTTTTGCCTTAAAATTCTAAAGTTTAGTGCTGTCAGGAAAAATGGTTTATTGAACCATATTATAAAATGTCCTCCCCCACTTTATTTTAAAGAAGTCAAAAGGTCTTACTCATTCTAATTTAAAACAAAAAATATTGCTTTCTCTATAAAGTCTATAAAAAGTCCAATTACATGGAATACCATATTATCAAAACTGTATTACACATACATATCACTCGACTATCCCTTTGGATAAATTTCATTTTAACTGCCTAATCTACCTGGTCAACAACTGCGGCAATAAAAATTTCAGAACTAAAAGATAAAAAAAATGTGCTAGGATTTACAGACTGGCAAACTTGCATAGCTAAAGGAGAAATGTCAAGGTACCTCCATTGTGAAGCACTACTAAGTAGGAAGCACAACAACATGTATATGTACTTCGCAAATATGGCTGCCTCATTTACAGACAGGCTTATAAACTACAGATAGACACAAAAATTGTTTTCAAATATTAACACTGCTCGCGTAACACATTTATGTAAAACGTTTACTAAGGTACATGCAGAAAAAAAAAAAAAAAAAAAAAAAAAAAGGGAAAAAAAAAGAAGACAATTTTAGCTGCAGTCAAAAAGACTTGTTCAAGGTGCACTTACAATAGCCTGCGATTCCAGAATGGATCGGCTTTTCCTTACAAGGGGGGTTTCAAATGTTTCCACAGCAACAACTTCCACAATTGCATTTCCCCCATAAATACTGTACATATCATCTGCAAACTGGAAAAGATGAGATTAGTATACAGACTACAACCTGCACATGATAGTAAGATCATAGGTATAGTTACATAGCTAGGTTGGGACACAAACAAACAAACACAAACCTAGTTAAACCTATCGATTAAAAAAAAAAAAAAAAAAAAAAAAAAAAGAGAATCTTCATATACAAAACCCTATACCCAATTGATCCAGAGGAAAAAAAAAAAAAAAAAAAAAAAAAAAACCTATAAAAAAGTATGGTACAATTTGCTTCAGCAGGAAAAAAAAAAATGTAGTTTCAATGGGCTGCCATATGCACAGCCCACAAACAAAAAACGAAACAAAAAACAAACCCCAATAAAAAACAAAAAAAAACACACATTGCCTCTATGTTAGGTGTAAGTAGCACCTTCATTTTTTTCCTCTTGTATTAACTGCATTTCCACTATCAAACAATAGGATTTCACCATTTGATCAAAAGTATAACCAGACAGGTTATGGTGAGGATAAATGAAACCAAAAAGCCTTCCAATGAACCAGTATGAAACAAAACAGAGCCTTCGAAAAACAGAATTATAGGTTCAGCCCCCATCTGCACTATAAACCAGCAGTTCTGAAAGTACAGTTGGCCAAAAATCAAAACAATGATTTACATGGCTCTAAAACAAGGAATAAACTCCTTATTTCTGGGATTCGCATTGCACCGTGAGGAAGAAAGCTTTACTGTGTTAAATATTTATTAACAAATCATATTGCATTATGCAAACATCTCCATCCCGCTGTCAGTCAGCACTGTTTTCAGTTACCACTAGAAGATACTGTTACTGCACATCCATTGGTTTGAAGGGTCAATTCACAACCTGTCATATTGTTATTCTTGATACAAAGGCTTGTTAAAATGTACTTCTACCATTAAGAATTGAAGACTGAGTAATCTTGGCTTTGACCAAATTTCTTTGATGTAAAAATGAAATGTTCAAGGTTTGTTTTAAATTTTTGCCACGGGTGTAAGTTCTTCTTTGTAAAAGGGGTAGATTTAACAATTTTAAATTTGCCCAATAGTGAGACAGCCCTGTGGCACTGCCGCAACCCACATTCAAGAAAGCAACCTAAAAGATGAAAATTTGTACATTTAATTACCTTCTGAAGTGCTTCTGACAGAAGTCTACTTGCATCCTTGAATTTTACAGAGTCTTCACCATAACGCTTCTTCATCTCTTCTAAACCAGTGAGTTCCAAACAATAAATGTCTGGAGAATTATCTTTGGCCAGATGCTTATGCCGAGAAAGCTGTATTAAAGAGATGTGCATACTGAATTTAAAAAGAAGAGTCTTTTAAACAGAAAACAGAATTTCAAAAATACATTTTAGACATTTTTTAAAGGAATAGTTCATCTCTCACAACATGTTACACCCATCCATATTCCCCTCTTTGATAGCTAGCGGGAAGGAGGGGGGAATCTCTTCTCCCCTCGCTAGTTGTCAAAATTAAAAAAAAAAAAAAAAAAAAAAAGTGAAGGAAGGTGCCTCACTCAATTTATGGTGGTGTTCTGTGTATGAGAAACAACAAGTCCTGACAGCCTTGTTGGCGGTTGGCTTGTAGTTCTTGATGAACTACCACAGCGCTGTGGTTCATTGTTGAGTTGTCCTGTTTTTTAGGTAAAACTTCCTTCACTTCTGAGTGGTCAACAAGACAGGAAAACGAGAGTAATTTTTTTTGCTAGGAGCTCCACTTTAGTACTGCCTCAAAGGCAAAATAAACTATCATGTTGCTTAATACTACTATGCCAACACAAACCTAAAAAGCAGAGATCAACCATTTTTTCCCCCCCATCAATGGTCCACTTTGCTTGCCGACATCTTCTGCTGGGTGTTGGTCTTCAGCCATCTTCATTGACCAGCGCAGGATGACATCATTCCTGCGCACGCAAGGGAGTCAGCCATTTGGCACACAGGGACCATTGCGGCAATGTAAGCTGAGCTGCAAATGTGTAGCTCTGTTTACATGCTGGAGAATGCTGCAAGCAGGCAGGAAGGTGTAGTTTATTGCAGAACCTCTTCGGGCATGTCTACAATAAAGAGTCTGCCTGCACACAGTTTGTGACAACAGAAAGCTTTGAGAATAAAAACAAATAAATTGGCAGGTAACTAAGTAGTAGCATGGTTGATAGTTCAAACTGAAAAGAGCTATTTAGATGTAAATCTTAGTAACCTATGGTGTATGGAAAAGAAGTGAGTTTTAATTATAAGATGGCCCTGAAAGTCAGATTTGCCATTCAAAAGTTGTGAACCTCAACGTAAACAGCACTACATATGTAAAATGCAAAAAAACTGTCTTTTCACTACAAAAATACAATTAGCTGTAAAAAATCTAAATCTTAAATGGTTAACTCCCTTGACTTGTAGCATGGTGATCCTGGATGATTCAACTTAACAGTGACACTATCTGCTTCACGCTTGTATGAATTAATTTGATAATTCCAGTTTCATCGCACACAACTGACAGTCCAGCTGGTTCCCATCTATACACACCAATGAATGAGTGCTTGGAATACAGATATGAAATTGTTGGTTTCTGTGGGTGCTGGGACTCAACTATATATTCTGTAAATCATGGCAAATATTCTCAACAGTATACAGTTAAAATAAAAAAATAAAAAAAATGATTACTCCAAATTCTGAAGTTGAACTACAATAGTCTCCAGTTGATTGCTTACTTACCAGAGTTGTAATGTCCTGCAGAGCTTGCAGTTCAGAAAGAAAGAGCCTGTCTGTCTGTAAAAAAAAAGAAAAAAAAAAAAAAAAAAAAAAAAAGAAAGAAGATTATTATATATTTCAAGTTTTCAAGTTTTACAGTCTTAAAACCGAACTGGTGTATATCATCCTAAATGGAAATAGCACTGGGTAGAGACCACCGTTAGGTTTTCTGACATCAATGTCCCATTGGGGAGATTTTCCTTTATTTCTTGTCCTGTTGACACAACAAAAGTGAGGGGAATTCATAGACAGCCGTCACTGGAACAGATTGCCAATTGGAAGATTTCCCCTCTATTTCTGGTATAAACGAATGTTTGGATTCTCCCTGTCAGTTCTGGGAGTAATGCCTCTCCCTAGCAGGGCACAGGCACAGCAATAAAAGGCTGACAGGGTTCTAATCCTTCCCTATTCTATTCAAAACCAACACAAAAAAAAAATTGGCTTTCATAATACCTGGTACTATATTCCACAGCAATGATGTATCAATTTAATACATAAAGAATATGTTATAATACCAGCAATGGTCATGTATCACAAATCTTAATATTAGGTTAGCAGGCTGCACATTAGTGAAAGAATCAAATTGGAGAACCTGTAACATAACAGTTATAATGAAATAACCACAAATGTCTTTTCTGTGCTCAATTATCAGTTTTTCCTTCAACAAGTGACATTCATCTAGTAAACAGCATCCTGTTATAACAGAAACGTGACATAGCACACAAGCCAGCGATCTACGGGTATCTTTGCCCATTCTTCATGGAGACAAAGGGGGTCCCTGTTCAGTCACATGGCTTCGCACCAGCACTGCTTTCTTTACTGGGCTGAGACGAGATTTTTCTGCGAAATCCAAAATTTCCACGCCCTCCACTCTAGTAGGAGCGCACAGCTTAAAAGTCAATCTTCTTCGACATAAAAAGGTATGAAGAATGAATTCTTGTCTCTTGACAGCTGATTTACATCTGCATAAAACAGAGTGAAATGCCCTTCACACTGTTTCCACCATAGGCAAACTAGTACCATGGGTAACCATCTAATGTTTCATTCCAAGAAGCTTTTCCACATGGCTTTTGGCATTACTGCATCGACTCTTCTGACATCCACAGGTGTTTTCAAGGGGGTACGCTGATGGAGACCCTTCATGAACCTCTGCTTCAGAGTGGTAGTCTTTATTGGGGTTGAATAATTGTTCAATGAAGAAACCCACATACAAACTTTTTACACTGTATTACATAAACACGGGTCATTAAGTTAGCACTTTGGGAGTCACAAACCCTGAATACAATACGAAAAAAGGTCCCTAAACCCCTTTGCAGCATTGGGGGGTTGCTAAATTTTGGTCAAACTGAAATGGAAGGTCATTAACACTTTGGAGTCCATAGTCAAAAAAAGTTGCACATCATGCTAATCTGTGCTAGTCAAACTTGTTAAATAAAATGTTTATGCAAACAACCAAACCCTTCCTCCAAGCATTGCATTGTTGTGCGAGGACTGACATCACGTAGGATCTGACATTATCTCCTTGGGTACTGAAGAGAATCATGGTACCATTGCACACGCTGAAGCTTCCCTGTACCTGCAGAAGCAAAACAGCCCCAAAGCATGATTGACCCTCCACCATGCTTCACAGTAGGCAAGGTGTTCTTTTCATCATAGGCCTTGTTCTTCCTCCTCCAAATCATAGTCAAACTTCTCTCCACTCTACGCTTCAGGTAGCGCACAGCAGTCGAAGTCAGCATCTTCTTTCTGCCACGACCAGGTAGCGTTTCAACAGTTGCCCTTTGCCTTGAATTTGCGAATGATTGCTTCCTAAGGTGTCTCTTGGTATGGAGAATGAAATCTCTCCAAAAGTTAAATTATATTTGTTCTCTTTGAACATTATTATTTTGGGTAGTTACAACGTTTTGTAGGATTTGATTCTGAATACAATTCCAAATGTACCAGTATGCTACATAAAAGTTGCACTAATGTGATATTTTAATCAGCTGAGTTGAGTACATATTTTATTTATAAAAAAAGTTTAATATTTATATAGCGCTGACAATTTACACAGTGCTCTTTCATATTGTACATTCAGATTTGACCCTGCCCTCAAGGAGCTTAAAATCTAAGAAAGACAGACACAGAATAATCTACCAGCATGTCTTTAGGGTGTAGGAGGAAACCACAGTACCTGGAGGTAACCTACACAAGGACAGCGAGAACATGCTGTGTTTCGGACAGAGGACAGGAGTGCTAAAACACTATGCCACTGAGTATTCTTCTGAATTAAAAAAATAAATAAAAATAATAATAAAAATTATATATATATTATATGTATCCAAATTGGATAACAAAACGAAAGCATTATCTGCCCCCCCCTCTAAAAAGCTAATTGATACAGTAAATGTTCACAGGTTCAGGTCAGGTTTACGCGAGGTTCAAGACAGGATTAGCTCAGGAACATTTCTTGTTCACACATATGCGGTTTAGAAACAGTTCCCATAGAAGTCAATAGCTTGTATTCCGCACCTGAACTGGACTGCACTGCTCAGAAATCGGACATGACTTTTTAAAACCGCACTGAATCCCCACCGCCAGTGCACCAGACATATGTGAACAGGCACCATAGGAAGCAAAGTTTTTCACATGTCATGAGGATTGGATACATTTCAAATCGCATCCAAACCTAAACATATATTCAATTAATGCCATGGAGGCAAGAGTAATGTTCTGTGAAAGTGGAGATCTGCAAAAACTATGGGAACAGAATTGAATAAAAATTGTAAATGTTACCTAAAAATAACTATTTAACCACCTTCCGCCCACCATATAGTACAATGACAGGCGCAAGGTGGTTCTCTCGTTCTGATAGGACGTCATATGACATCCTTCCATTCTCAGCGCGCAGAGGGGCAATTGCTGGTGCGCTGTGTCCCTCGGACACAGCGGATCACGGAAAGAGCCGAAGAGGTCGGCTCGGTCATGTGATCAGCTGTGTCCAATCACAGCGGATCACATGTAAACACGGAATTGCCGGTTATCGGCATTTCTCTCCTCTCGAGCTGTCACGCTGACAGCTCGAGAGGAGAGGAGAGCCGGTAGTCGGGCTTTCCGCGGAGGGGGACATGTACACTGATCATCAGGGCACTGATGATCAGTGTGCCCTGATGATCAGTGTGGAACCAAAAGTGCCAGCAGTCAGTGTCCATCAGTGCCACGTGCCAGTGCCCATCAGTGCCGCATACCAGTGCACATCAATGCCACATATCAGTGCCCATCTGAGCTGCCTTTCAATGTCACCCATCAATGTCTGTCAGTGCCGCCAGTCAGTGCCCATCAGTGATGCCTGTCAATGTCCATCAGTGCAACCTACCAGTGCCTCCTCATCAGTGCCACCTACCAGTGTCCATCAGTGCAGCCTATCAGTGCCCATCACTGCAGCCTCATTAGCACACATCAGTGAAGGAGAAAAATCACTTATTTACAAAACTGTATAACAAAAACTAAGAAAAAACGTTTTGTTTTTTTTTCAAAATTTTCAGTGGTTTTTTTGGTTTGTTTAAGAAAAAATAAAAAATCCCAGAGGTGATTAAATACCACCAAAAGAAAGCTCTGTCTCAAAAAAATGATAAAAATTTCATATGGGTACAGTGTTGCATGACCGCACAATTGTCATTCAAAGTGTAACAGCGCTGAAAGCTGGAAATTGGCCTGGGCAGGAAGGAGGTATGTAGGTTAGTGGTTAAAGTCCATTACTACTTGCCAGAGTTTACCTTTTTGGCAAATTGCCTATATACATTAGTACCCAACAACCTCTCTGAAAATGTATTATTGTTTGTTCTAGAGGGCCAATCTTCCATTCCTGATAGTGAATTGATGCATTCTTACAAATACAGTATCAGCTCACAAAATAGCTGCCATTGCCATGGGAAATAACAGCTGATGATAGCTTCACTTTAAATTACATTTCAGAACATAATGAACTTACCTCGTCATTCCTATATAAAGAGCTAGCAGGCAAAGATGAGAGGATAGAGTTATCTTGTTCCAAACGGCTTCTCAGCTGTCTCAGAGTAACTGGAAGATCTTCAAACACTGTATTGGCCTTCCCTACCATGTAAACTCTCTGGAAATACAATAGATCATACGTATTATTAACTATAAGTAGCTTCCAACTTCTAATTTTTTTTTATTTTTAAAAGTAAAACGGCTCACTTTTTTTGTGTATTGAACAGCCTAACTAAACTTTCCAAAATTAATTCATAAAATATATTCCAGGTGAATCAAAATAAACCGTGCAAAATCTTACTGTTTGTGGTCTATAAAAATGAGCCAGTCCCCTGTCAGCATGATGCAGGGTGGGAATCATACCCTGTGTGTAGAATGGTCACTTTGCAGAAGTCAGACATATAACCTTTTGAGTCAGAGCTAGAGCTCTGTAATCGGTGTGGAGCATGGTCTTTGCTGATTGCAGAGCTATGGGTCCGACTCAGCAAAAAGTGTCTCAGACCTCTACAATGTGACTCTGAGGAAGAGGCAAGTCCTCGAAATGCGTCAGCCTATTGGATGTCTACACTCCCTATTGCGGACTGTCACTTAGCGCAGTGTTGACCCAGCTGTTCTCTTATGGACGTGCCTTTGACTTTACTGTCGTTTGTGAGTACACCACCTACTTTATTTCTTATTAAACATTTTTTATGGTAATGCACTTCTGGTTGGTTCTTTCCTCATAATTCTACATCTGCCTGCAGGGGAAAGCCTTTACTACTCAGGTTGTGGCTGCTTTCATAAGAACAAAAAAAACAACAACAACTTTAAAGCGAACCTTTCCCTGAACCATCACAAAGACAGTAAAGCCACAAGGCAAACCGTCATGAAAGACATAAAAGACACATTTACTCTCCATTACGGGCTTGTCTTTGAGAATTATCTTACTTTCTAGAGATCTAACTGACCCCCCCCCCCCCTTGGCCATGTGACACTTGACACATCTAAGTAGAGAAAAAAAAAAATCTCTTTGCCAGAAATCTTACAGTGTATACACAAGATTTCCCTGGAAGGATCAGGTTGGGCCTGATCTTGCTTGGAGCGGTACGTGAAAGATTTAATAAGACACTGGGTGAGGTAGCTTTCCCTGGATGCAACTCTGATGCCCTAGCTCCATCACCAGTAAAGATCAGGAAGTGCAATGTGGTTAAAGGATAAGTAACTGCCAAATGCCTTTTTCTAATCATAGAAACAAAAAAATTTTTTTTTCGACATGCATTCCTGCATGCAACAATGACTTTGTTTTGGGGAGGGGATCCACTTTAGGACATGATGCACCTAGAAAGTATGTAATCAGATTTAATCTGAAAGTTCAATTGCGCTATAACGCTTTTAAATTGTTATGCTTTTATCAAATTCACTTAACCCTCAGAATCTGGGTCCCAAAAATATATATCTGTTTAGAGGCTTATGCAGGCCATAGATGGGTCGAAAATCGGCCGATTTTTCGGCCGAAAATAAAATCGGCCGATTTTCGGATCGTTAGTGGGCTATTTGTTCGGCCGTTTTTTTCGGTATTTTGGTCGTTTTTTTTAATCGGGAAAGTTGGAAAAAAAAAAAAAAAAAATCGGCCGATCTTCGCGGCAATAATGGGCTAATCGGACGATTTTTTACCGATAAAAAAATCTGCGCATGAGCAGTGACCTGGGGGGGGGGGGGGGGGGGGGGGGGGGGGGGGAGGAGGGGAGGAGGAGGAGGAAGTAGATGAGGATGAAGAAAAAGAAGAAGAAGAGGATGATGATGAAGAAGTAGAAGATGAAGAAGAGGATGAAGAGGATGACGACGAAGAGGATGACGACGAAGAAGAAGAAGAGGATGGTGATGATGAAGTAGAAGATGAAGAAGAGGATGATGATGACGACGACTATGAAGAAGAGGATGATGATGATGAAGTAGAAGGGGATGATGATGAAGAAGTAGAAGATGAAGAAGAGGATGACGACGAAGAAGAAGAAGAAGAGGATGACGATGACAAAGTAGAAGAAGATGAAGAAGAGGATGATGATGACGAAGATGATGATGATGATGAAGAAAAAGAAGAAGAAGAAGGAGGATGATGATGAAGAAGAAGAGGATGATGATGAAGAAAAAGAAGAGGATGATGATGAAGAAGTAGAAGAAGAGGATGATGATGAAGAAGAAGAAGAGGATGAGGATGAAGAAGGAGAAGAAGAAGGATGAAAAATAGGAATTCCAGTCCGGCAAAAAGTGTCCCTGCAGAGAGCTCCGCTATTTCTTTGACAGTTCCTTGACATTTACAGCGGTTGCAACATTGTATCTATTTGTTTCCGAATAAAAAACATCTGTATCATTAAATGGATACAAGAGCTCCGCTATTTCTTTGACAGTTCCTTGACATTTACAGCGGTTGATATCTATTTGTTTTTCCGAATAAAAACATCTGTATCTAAATGGATACAAATAGATACATTGTTGCAACCTCTGTAAATGTCAAGGAACTGTCAAAGAAATAGCAGAGCTCTCTGCAGGGACACTTTTTGCCGGCTGTAGACGGGATGAAAATCGGCCGATTTTTTTTTACCATTGGTGGTAACGTCGGCCACTTGAACGACCGATTGTTCGTTTTTTTAAAAGAAAAATCGGCCGATTTTCGACCCATCTATGGCCTGCATTAGATTGCTCAATTATCTCAGCTGCCAGTACCTACCATTTGTACACTCATCAATTTCAAGGCATTCTGCCAGCAGATCTGGGCAACAGGGGAGTATAGGAAGGTAAGCAGAGACAGCATATGCTATGCACTAAAGTACAAAGTTCATATTAATACTCTGACTAATGTTAGCTTACAGCAACAAAATGTACACAATTGCTTTTTATTCCATATATTGTCCCATTCTTCAGTCTACGACTGGGTCAGGTGCTGATAAGAATTAATGGGCAATGCTTACCTCCTCTATGGGAGCCAACTGTAAAACGACTGGCATTTCCTCAGAGAACAGAGCATGGATAGAGTTCACAACACCATCAATAGTGTAGGGAACAGCCTTTGAAGGAAGAAATACAAAAAGGAAAAACACAATTGTTACCAGATTAGCTCCATAAAATCAATAGTCATGTGTTATGATCATTGGGAATAGTGATGTTAATCACTTTAAAGACTAACTCCAGCCAAAAGTTTTCAGCATTGGATAAAGTGGGTAAGAATTAAAATTTTTTTTTTTTCAGGTTTTCACTTGGGTTGAGAAGAAAATCGAAACACATCCTGTGATGCTCATGCAAGAAATGGGGCGCTGTGGTGACCCCCCAGCACAGTAATAAAATTCAAGTGCAAATAACTAAATATAGTGAATAGTGCTGCATTACCACAGTGTGTGTATGACTAATATCATGTCATATATTTAAGCTTTAAAAGGTGTATTGTAACACTGAGAGATAGAATAGCAACAAAAAATTCTAAAGAAATGCATGTCTAACAAATTATGCACTGATTTGCATGTTCATGAGGGAAATAAGTATTTGATCCCCTATCATTCAGCAGGATTTCTGGCTACAAGAGGTCTTTCATACAAGTAACAAGCTGAGATTAGAAGCAGTGTCTTAAAAGGAGTGCTGCTAATCTCATTTTGTTACCTGTATAAAAGACACCTGTCCACAGGAGCAATCAAAAAATTAGATTACAAACTCTCCACCATGGTAAAGACCAAAGAGCTGTCCAAGGATGTCAGGGACAAGATTGTAGACCTACACAAGACTGGACTGGGCTACCAAACTATCACCAAGCAACTTGGTGAGAAGGTGACAACAGTTGGTGCAATCATTCGCAAATGGAAGAAACTCAAAACAACTGTTTCCCTAGGTCTGGTGCACCATGCAAGATCTCACCTCGTGGAGTGTCAATGATCATGAGAACACTGAGGAATCATCCCAGAACTACATGTGAGGATCTTGTCAATGATCTCCAGGCAGCTGGGACCACAGTCACCAAGAAAACAATTGGTAACACACTACACCGACAAGGATTGAAATCCTGCAGTCCCGCAAGGTCCCTCTGCTCAAGAAAGCACATGTCCAGGCCCATCTGAAGTTTGCCACTGAACATCTGAATGATGTAGAGGAGGACTGGTTGAAAGTGTTGTGGTCACATGAGACCAAAATTGAGCTCTTTAGTATCAACGCAACTCACCGTGTTTGGTGGAGGAGGAGGAGGAATGCTGCCTATGACCCCAAGAACACCATCCCAACTGTCTAACATGGTGGTGGAAACATTCTGCTTTGAGGGTGTTTTCTGCTAAGGGGACAGGACAACTGCACTGCATCAAAAGGGACTATGGACGGGGCAATGTACTGTCAAATCTTGGGTGAGAACCTTCTTCCCTTAGCCAGGGCATTGAAAATGGCTCGTGGATGGGTGTTCCAGCATGACAATAACCCAAAACACGGCCAAGGCAACAAAGGAGTGGCTCAAGAAGAAGCACATTAAGGTCCTGGAGTGGCCTAGCCAGTCTCTAGACCTTAATCCAATTGAAAATCTGTAGAGGGAGCTGAAAGTTTGGAGTTGCCAAACGTCAGCCACCAAATCTTAATAACATGGAGAGGATCTGCCAAGAGGAGTGGGTCAAAATCCCTCCTGAGATGTGTGCAAACCTGGTGGCCAACTACAGGAAACAAATGACCTCTGTGATTGCCAACAAGGGCTTTGCCACCAAGTACTAAGTCATGTTTTGTGAAGGGGATCAAATACTTATTTCCCTCATGAGCATGCAAATCAATGCATAATTTGTTAGACATGCATTTCTTTTGAATTGTTGCTCTTCTGTCTCTGTGTTACAATACACCTACCATTAAATTTTTAGACTGATCATTTCTTTGTGAGTGGGCAAACATTCAAAATCAGCAGGGGATCAAATACTTATTTCCTTTACTGTATGAGTGCTGCCTTTCAGTGCCCATCAGTGCCGCCTCATTAGGACTTATCAGTGAAGGAGAAAAATCACTTATTTACAAAAATTTTTATAACAGAAACTAAGAAAAAAAACGTTTTTTTTTTTTTTTTTTTAATTTTCAGTTGTTTTTGGTTTGTTAAGCAAAAAATAAAAAACCCAGAGGTGATTAAATACCACCAAAAGAAAGCTCTCCCTGTCTCAAAAAAATTATTAAAATTTCATATGGGAACAGTGTTGCATGACCGCGCAATTGTCAAAGTGCGACAGCGTTGAAAGTTGAAAATTGGCCTGGGCAGGAAGGGGGTAGAAGTGCCCTGTAGGCAAGTAGATAATTAAGTCCTTATCACATGTGCAGAATTTATACTGTCACACCTTATGTTAAATATTTGTGCCAAACATTGATTCTTATAAAGTGCGTCCACATAACTCGTATGACTTTCACTGATAATGCCCAAAACCAGTGAAGCTTCAATACCGTGTGACAAAAAACTGCCACTTGTGCCACCAGAGTGATCACAATGCTCTCTCGCCTCACCTATATGACTCACATCAAATGCAAGATCATGCCTTTGCACTTTCTTGCCGGAATAGGGCTTCTCCAAAGGGCTGTATCTCCATAGTATATGCTCTCCTCACTGATCCGCTTTGTAAACTTCCTTATATGGAGCACTGGGAAAGTGATTTAGCTATCAACTACTATTTTTCGGATTGACAAGAAATTGCTTTTGCACGGTCGAAAATTTCTATCAATACTACCCCAATTGCAGCAAATTATAAAAACGTTGTTGCGTTAGTACTTGGTTCCCACTCGGATTGTGAGGATGCATCAGTCTGCTTCTGCGATGCGTTTTCGGCCCTGGCAGGGTGGGATCTATGTACCACGTCTGGTGGCAGTGTCCACTCATAACTACATTTTGGATTTGCATGTTTAATTTGGTACACTCAGTGACGGGAGTAAATATTCACAGATCCCCAGAGATAGCGTTCTTTCATAAATTTCCTGATAGTGTCCCTAAGAAATTGTGTAAGCTGATCTCTTACATGTTTCTGGCAGCGAGAATCACCATAGCTAGACATCTGGAAACAATCGGCTATTCCACTTGATTGTTTTAAAAATAAAGTAAACTGGATTATGGTCAATGACAAGCTCACATATATCCTGCAGAATACTTCAAAGAAATTTTATAGCGTATGGAACCTGTGGATTCAATATACATCTGTGCCTTAATGTCTCCTATCCTGACCCTCTCTTCTAATTTTTTCTTTGCTTTCTCTTTTCTTTTCCTCTGTTCTGTATGGTTTTATTTTATATATTGATGAGGCGAAATTCACCTGCTTTCGTCTTAGTGGTACTAAACATTTTTTTTTTTCTTTTAACGGTTAGTTGTTCATGGTACAACTTGTTGTTTCTAGTGCCTTATGTTTATATGTTTGATGGTACACTATTTGCCTGTACTACCTGTTGTAAAAACGATTTAATAAAAACCATATGCAAGATCATATATTAAAGAAACAAACAACAAACCCCCGCCCCCCAAAAAACCCACATGTTATGCATCCACCAGTGTCTCCTATGAGCTTGGGTACCTGCTTGCGCACTTGTGTTGTATGCACTAGGACCCTGTACACTGAGATACCCACTTGCGCACTTATACTGTCATCCAAAGAAACTGGGTGTGGGTCTCTTTACGGCTGTTCAGCACTCATGTGGCCATGCGGTGTCACTCCAGGTAGAAACAGCCTCCAATAGTGTAGTATTTAAAATATAGATTATTTATTGTTAAAACAGCACTCACATTAAGAAATTGCTTGCATATCATAAAAACCACACAGCAAAAACCATCACTTCTGGTTTGCGTCACCTAAGCTCCACCCCATGCGTTACGCCATGAGTCACATGACTTCATCAGGTTATGGCAGAAACATATATATTAAAAACATATGACACAGTATTAGTCACACAGTCACTGTGGTAGAGCAGCACTATTTACTATTTTTTGTTATAAACCGTTCTGTGGGAACAAATTAGGTGTTAGCAGCTACCATGCAATTGTTGATTATAGTTGGTTTTGGTAGCGCAGGAGTTAATTTTCAGTCCCCCTGTCAGAACACAATAGGTCAGCAGGGAGATCACTGTACTAACATTGCATAGTTAGTACAGAGACCCCCTCGCCAGCTCCTCTGGTTTTTTTTTTTCAGCAGAGAGTGTGCCAGGCTTTAAAATACTTTTATATTGCGACTTACCCAAATACTCAATTGTTTTAACGCCCAAATCTAGTTTCCATTAAAGAATATGCTAAGGAAAATCTGTATCTATCTATCTATCTATCTATCTATCTATCTATCCATCCATCTATCCCACATTTTATCCCTTTAATCAAGCTGCAAGTACAAGAGTACAAATACTTTCTGCAATAAACTGAACAGATATTGCAAAAACACACACACACAAAAAAAAAAAAAAAAAAAAGTGTCAAGTAAGACACTCCCGGCATTTCTCACATTGATATTAGTATTACATTTATTGCTACAGTATGACTTTTGCTTGGGGAACTCAGGGGGATGGGGGACTCTGGTTGCACCCAACCCTAACTGCAGATATTGACTTCCTATGAGTTCTCAAATCATTACCGTAAATTATTACCCAGGTACCTCCTATGTATGCACAGTATTTTCAAATGTCTGCTATTCTGCTTTCACTTGTGAAGCACCTTATCCACTGCCTGCTCTACAGCACCAAAACAATCAAGGGTATATAACGTACAGTACAGTGTATAAAGCAGCCTCTCTCAGCATTTTTACCCCAGGAGGACTGGAGGGGCCCCTTGTTAAGTTATAAATAAATAACTCCCAGTACATTTGTTTGTCCTGGGAAAGGGGTGCCTTCTTACGCTGGTTCTCAGCAGGAGAAGGGCCTCTTTCTTTGATGGTCAGAAGGAGTGGTGCATCCTTACATTGGTGGTCAGTGAGAAGAATGCCCCCCTTACAGATTCCCAAAAAGATCATGGGTGCCAGTGGTTACTTATTTGAGAGTTAAGAGCAGAGGTGATCATTCTGAAGGTTCGAACCCCTGATAACCACTGAAGGAACCCTAGGGTTCCATGGAAGCCTGGATCAGTAAAGCTAGAACACCAGAGTACGCACTGTACAGCACAGCGTAGAGAGTGCAGTGTTACATATGCAGCATGAAGTGGCCCACATTTGCATGGCAATTAATATTATCAGCAGTGTGAAGTAGCAAAGGTATAGTCAAGCACACCCAAACTGCAGAAGATCTATGGTTGCATTAGAAAAAAGTCAGTGCAAACCACACCAGTGTCCCTGATCACTGCCCCAGTGTAGGGACAACAAACAATGTAGACAGCCCTGTCACCTGTTCCAGTGAGCGCAAAAACACCACCATACCAATTTGCTGATATCACTGCCATACCAGCGCCCGGATCGCCGCCACGCCCCGCACCAGCGCCCGGATCGCCGCCACGCCCCGCACCAGCGCCCGGATCGCCGCCACGCCCCGCACCAGCGCCCGGATCGCCGCCACGCCCCGCACCAGCTTTGTAACAAAAACTTGGAAAAAATTTATTTTTCAAAATTTTGGGTCTTTTTTCATGTATATAGAAAAAAAGAAAAAAAACCCAGTGGTGATAAAATACCACCAAAACAAAGCTCTATCTGTCTAAAAAAAAAAAAAAAATGATACAAATTTCATATGGGTATAGTGTTGCATGACAACAGTCATAACTGTCAAAGCGTGATGGCGCTGAAAGGTGAAAACTGGCCTGGACTGGAAGGGGATGAAAGTGTCTGGACTTGAAGTGGTTAAAACAGGCCACATCAGTAACAGAGCTGAACCAATGTCACCACAAAAGACTCACATTCTCCACTGGGTATGAAATCTCATTGTCGCCTACAGGTAATTTTTCCACACCAGTCACTGAAACTAGAACTGTTGCCCGTGGACGCTGGAAAATGTCGCCAACTCCTAGCCCCGGCCAAGATAGATTCTGCAAGAGAAATTCATATAATAATCAGTAATGAAGTGTAGCTGACAGATTTGTTGTCATCTTCAAATTATTATTTCCAGTTTTTACAAAGATTATTAACTTCATAGTGCAGAGAAAGGAGTAAATTAATACTTTCAGAACAGTAACAGACTAACAAAGAATATTCTACTAAAAAATAAAGAGAATATCTATCTCAATATACCATGTATTCCATTTGCTGTAAGGCACATGTGTCAAACAAAAGGCCTGAGGGCAGAGTCTGGCCTGCCAGGCTATTTCATTTAGCCCTTGCACCTCTCCTGCAGCTGTGGCACCCTTCTTTTCTCCAGCACCACCTTGTCTCAGCAGCTATTAGCAAATAGAAGGACAGAATCCCCCCCCCCCCCCCCCTACAGATCCTGCACTTCTCCGTGCAGCCTCTGAGAGGCTCTCCTCTTGCCACTTTCCCCCCCAGTTTTAGCAGTTAGCAGCTAAGAGGAAGATTGAACTCTTCCTACAAAGCCTGTGCATCTCTGTGCAGGTGCATTATTCAAATTTAAAAGTTAGAAAAAAGTGTGTGCTTTTTTTGTGCAATTGGCAGCCCATAAAAAGCAAAAAAGTATCTTGAAGAAAAGCCTTACACGTCCTAATAAAAAAAAAAGTTAAAAAATAAATAAATTTAAAAAATGTCTGCATGCAAATTAGTTATTCTTTGGTTAACGGTCATATGTGAATGCTGCTAAATTTGACCAGGATGTCTAGGTAGCAATGACCCAATGTCAAACCAACTATGCAGTTTAGCCATAGGGGGCATGCAGTACGGCATTAACTGTGTCCATCGGTATCTAGCACATTAAAGAGCTGTGCACTGCAATACACCACTGAACGATCACTTAACTGTATATATTATTCAACATAATTTACATGGTGGAGGGTTGGTCAACAGTTCCCATCATCATGTCGGTAGGTCAACATCATCATCTGCTACTTATTTAAAAGGAGAACGCCTCTGACAACACATCTACTGGGAACATGTGGCAAAGCACCAATGGGACATCAGAGTTGTAAATGTTAATTGTGTTATTTCCACAGCTGTCAGTTCAATCTTTATATCAACCAGCTGGTAAGGGCTTTCATGCTTACCTCCTCCACAGAAAAGCCCATTGACAAGGACACCACATCAGGAATGCGCTCTCCAGGAATAGGCCAATTTCCAGCTCTGAAGATTTGATTTTGCGGGCTTTTTAACACGCTAAAATCAGCAGTGGCAGCTAGAGAAAATAAATAAATAAAAATAAATACATATACACACACACACACACACTCTCTTGCAGTTTGTATTCTATAGCTTACTGTATATAGGCACCAAAAACATTTTCAAGTCCTTAAGTTTAGTTAAAACAACACATCATCTTTTGTAATAGGAAAAAAAAAAAAAAAAAAAAAATCTTGGTCGGGGTGTGAGTCAGTGAATCACAAGACTGACAAATATCATAAATGTTTTGGCAGGTAATCAAGGTCTGCTATACATCACCTGTGTGATATTATAAAAAAACACAAATCTTGATTATTTTTTTTTTACATATAAGTTCAGATATACTATTTAATGAAAGAATTACTTCTTTTGGACTCATCTACATACACTGCAATAGAACAGGAAGAACTGTCAATAAGGGCCTATTCAATTCACAAGTGATGGACAGTGTTGCTCAACACAGCCAAAAGGGGTATGAAAAAAACCCAAAAATCTATAAAATAAATAAATAGCTTTCGATGGTGCCAGCTAACGCCAACATTTTGCAGTGCTTTGCACTGACCGAAAGTCCAAGCAGTTGCATTTTTATCACAGCATGTTATGATAAGCGTTAAGGGCCCTTTCACACTGGCGGTCTCTATCAAGCGGATCCGCCTGCTGAAATCTGTCTGCTGATCCCCGCTGTGGAGGTGGATGACAGTTCCCTATCAGCTCTGCACAAGTCCACTGTTCTCTATGGGATGGTCAGTTGTACATGGACTGCTTGTCCCTTTACATCCGACTGTCATTAAAATCTGATCTGCTAAGCGAATGAGCAACGGATTCCCATCAGTCTGTTTTTAGTCCATTTACATCTGCCTCCCCACAGGTGGTTCTGCCTGAACAATGCACAGGCGGACCCCATCAGTCCGACCAGCTGAAAGGGCCCTAAGGAATCTCTCCAATCAATATTGCTAGATTGGCCCCTGCTGTGATCCATACAGATGTGGAAAGGGGAGAGGCTCAATTCTCAAAGCTTTATCACAGGGATAAGCATCTTTATTTTCAGCCAATATTAATTCATCCCAGCACTGAGACATGAGCTCTGCTTGGCACAGAAGATACCTAGTATGTTTTTACTTCTGCTAGAAATCTTTTCTTTTACCCAAAGTTCAGCTTGAAAAGGAGGCTAAACTGAAAGAATAAAGCTGTACCTGCAAAGAAGAAAAGTAAAACGCTTAGCATTCCCACTGCCCATGCCACCAAACACTGCCCTATTAAAGAGCAACTGTCCTTGGAAGTCTCTTCAGAAAGCAACACTTCAGGGAGTGTGTCCCCCTTCAAAGCGGTTCCTCCTATCGGCCCCTGTGTTATATGTCCTGTAGTAACATGAAGGTTGGGGATGAACACAAGCTCAAGCAGGGAACCAGAAGATCCACACACCTGGAAGTATTGACTTTTGAAAACATGTCAGGAGATCATTTTTTTCCAAGGAGAGGTGTTCTGCAATGTGGGGAGCAAGAGAGAGAAAGCATTTCTTTCCCTTTTGTAGGGACAGCTTTTATTCTGCATTTCATATAGGAGAAGTCTAAACTTCACTAAAACCTTATACAAGCCTTTCCACATTAATGTCACTGGAATAGAAATATTTAATATTTTAATTCTGAAGCTTTTATTAAAATAATACCCGATGATCATGCCATGCAGGTCCCTTCTCAGGCAATTCCTTATACAGTCAGGTCCATAAATATTGGGACATCAAGTGTTTCAATGTTAGAATTGTGTCGAAGTATTTGCCATGAAGGTTAGCTTGTTGTTGGGCGATGGATTATTGGTACTTCTATAGCGCCATCAATTTTACTCAGCGCTTTACATTTATATTGTACATTCACATCAGTCCCTACTCTCAAGGGGCGTACAATCTACGGGTATGGTATATACATAGTTTGTCTGTGCTGGAACCATGTAACTATGTAACTGGAGGCTACAAGAAAAGGAACTGGGAAATCTCTGTCCTCAGTCCCTTTTCTCTGTGGCAAAAGTGAGACACCAGGGGTCTGTATAGACCCCAGAAATTTCACCAAAGCCTCACAACAAGGCACCTAAAAAATATTGTAAAGAGAGAAAAAAAACAAACAAACAACAAACAAACAACCTGCTGACACCGTCCACTGCCCTACTGATAACCATCCTCCCTGAGGGGCAGGAGGGTGTGCCGAGTCTTTGCCCTGGGTGAAAGAATGTCTAGCTATGACACTGAATACAGATATACAGTATTTGCCATGAAGGTTAGCTTGTTGTTGAGCGACAGATTATTATTATTATTATTGGTACTTCTATAGTGCCATCAAATTTTACGCAGCGCTTTACATTTATATTGTGCATTCACATCAGTCCCTACTCTCAAGGGGCGTACAATCTACAAATTCCTAACTCACATTCATACATACACATACTAGGGACAATTTAGACAGGAGACAATTAACTTACCAGCATGTTTTTGGAGTGTGGGAGGAAACCGGAGTACCCGGAGAAAACCCACGCAGGCACAGGGAGAACATGCAAACTCCAGGCAGGTGGTACTGTGGTTGGGATACGAACCAACGACCCTAGTACTGCCAGGCGGAAGTGCTAACCATTTAGCCACTTAATTGCCTGTTTTTAGTGCCCCCAGCTATATGAGTGTATGAGACCATACGGTTTCAGAAACAAAAGTTGGACCTCAAATGGACAATAAGACCAAAAGACTTCCTCAGCCCAGCTCACAGTAAAATAATGGTCTCCTCCTTTACAGAGGCTGTCCCTCCTTGTAAAGCAGAGGTGTGGAAGGATGTAAATGGCTAAGCATCACAGGAATCTACTGACAAAAATACATACCCATCTAAGAAAACGTCACAGTTCTTATCTTATACAAAAAGCGGACACGATATTTAGATCGATATATTGCACAGTTTAGTTATAAGCATGTGTGAAGTGAAGGGTCAACCAGTTATCTTTCTTGACTTTGGCACTGATGTCCCTAAAGATCATATACTGCCCCTTCCCTGGTAAAAACCTGAGTGATCCCACCACATCAAGTCATGTTTACTGCATACACTCCGATCCTACTCAACAACTCACATGCTGTTTCTACATCAACACTGCTAATATGTTGGCTGCAAATAAAGAGATTTACTGTCAGCAAAAGGGCCTCACTCTCACAACAAGCCTCTTCTGAGTGTCCTCTGTAGTATTGTACTTTCCCCAGTATATATTGTAAAAGCTGTAACAAGCAAAGAATTAACCTATTACCACCTATTTTCTGAATTATTCCCATCCTATATGGCTAATATGTAATGCATGTCTATTTATTTACCCTACTCTAAAGTGTTTTAGAATGGAATGTTACTACATAAAAACAACAAAATACAATGCAAAACCTGAATGGATAAGATGCTTGCGAATTAAATTCCAAATGAAAAACACAAATCTAACACTTTTCTTTACTTCTCCCTACAGTGCTGCATTTTACCTATACTTATAGTGCCTTGAAAAAGTATTCATACCCCTTGAAATTTTCCACATTTTGTCATGTTACAAACAAAAAAATGTAAATGTTTTTTGTGGTGATTTTATGCAATAAACCAGTGGTCTCAAAACTGTGGCCCGGGGGCCAGATGCGGCCCTTTGCTTGCCTCTATCTGGCCCTTGGGACACTATTGTTCCAACTGACACAAATGATGAGGCACCATTCCTCCCACTTTTACCATTAATGGGACACTCTTCTTCCTACTGATACCAGTGATGAGGCACTATTGGTCTCCCACTGACACCATAGATGAGGCACTATGCCTCCAATTGGGCGGCACAGTGGCTTAGTGGGTTCGATTCCCAACCACGGCGCCTCCTGCATGGAGACCAACACAAAGTGGCACATAATTGTGAAGTGGAAGGAAAATGATAAATGGTTTACAAATTCTTTTAACAAATAAACATGTGAAAAGTGTGGTGTGCATTTGTTTTCAGCCCCCTCGAGTCAATACTTTGTAGAACCACCTTTCACTGCAATTACAGCTGCAAGTCTTTTTGGGTATGTCTCTACCAGCTTTACACATCCAGAGAGTGACATTTTTACCCATACTTTTTGAGCACAATAGCTCAAGCTGTCAGATTGGATGGAAAGTGTCTATGAACAGCAATTTTCAAGTCTTGCCACAGATTCTCAATTGGATTTGGGTCTGGACTTTGCCTGGGCCATTCTAACACATGAATATGCTTTGATCTAAACCATTCCATTGTAGCTCTGACTGTATGTTTAGGGTCGATGTCCTGATGGAAGGTGAACCTCCACCCCAGTCTCAAGTCTTTTGCAGACTCTAACAGGTTTTCTTCTAAGATTGCCCTGTATTTGGCTCCATCCATCTTCCATTCAACTCTGACCAGCTTCCCTGTCCCTGCTGAAGAAAAGCAACCCCACAATATGATGCTGCCACCACCACCAAGCCGGTGTGGGAAGAGGCCAGCGTGCCCACACTAAAGAAAGGACAACATCAGGTACCTGCTCCCCCTCCCTCCCCAAAGGTCCGCAGTCCCTGGCATTATCCCCTGTACCGTGTCCGCAGTCCCTGGCATTGTCCCCTGTACCGTGTCCGCAGTCTCTGGGCATCTCCTGTACCGTGTCCGCAGTCTCTGGGCATCTCCTGTACTGTGTCCGCAGTCTCTGGCATTATCCCCTGTACCGTGTCCGCAGTCTCTGGTCATCTCCTGTACTGTCCGCAGTCTCTGGGCATCTCCTGTACCGTGTCCGCAGTCTCTGGTCATCTCCTGTACCGTGTCCGCAGTCTCTGGTCATCTCCTGTACCGTGTCCGCAGTCTCTGGTCATCTCCTGTACCGTGTCCGCAGTCTCTGGTCATCTCCTGTACCGTGTCCGCAGTCTCTGGTCATCTCCTGTACCGTGTCCGCAGTCTCTGGTCATCTCCTGTACCGTGTCCGCAGTCTCTGGTCATCTCCTGTACCGTGTCCGCAGTCTCTGGTCATCTCCTGTACTGGAGTCCATTGGTTCAGAATATTTTTTTTCTTGTTTTTCACCACTAAAACCTA